CCCAGTGGAAGCTCACGGGTTATGCCTTCTCAACAATGAGATACCACAAGTTGGTTTTATGACAACAGACACTCCTTTAGTTTTCAGACCTACCCATAAAATGTCACCTTTGGTTTATTTGGCACATTATTTCAGAGAATGACAAAAATATTTTTTCTTTCTCTTTCTCCTGATCTACCTCAATTAGGAACAAATCTTACCTCACTACAAAGAGAAATAATGAGAACAGGCTGGGTGGGGTGGCTCATGCCTGTAATCCCAGCACTTTGGGAGGCCGAGGTTGGGGGGGAATCACTTGAGGTCAGGAGTTCGAGACCAGCCTGGCCAACATGGTGAAAGCCCGTTTTTACTAAAAATGCAAAAATTAGCAGCTGGGCGTGGTGGTCCATGCCTATATCCCAGCTACTCGGGAGGCTGAAGCAGGACAATCACTTGAACCTGGGAGGCGGAGGTTGCAATGAGCTGAGATCGCACCACTCTACTCCAGCCTGGGCAACAAGGCGAGACTCCATCTCAAAAAAAAAAAAAAAAAAAACCAGGAAAATCAAGCCATGAGCCACCTGTGGTGGAGGCGGGCTGCTCTGTGCTGCATTCAGACCTCTAACCTGAGGTTAGGAATAGCCACCATGCACTCTGTTCATGCACTCTGTTTTGCCCATGATGTGTCTTTAGCCCCTGAAAAGCTGAAACCACAAAAACTGTTACGCTTCAGCTGTACAACGAATTGGACACGTACAGGATACAGATCCCCTCTACATCTTACAGTCTGGTCATTTTTATTTCATTTTGACTTTTTATTTTACTTTTGCATAAAGCTAATGAAGGTTGACTACACCTTTTCTGAAATGCTTGGGACCAGAAATGTTTCAGACTTTGGAAGATTTGCATATATACAATGAGATATCTTGAGGATGGGACCCAAGTCTAAACACGAAATTCGTTTGTTTCATATGCACCTTACACACATAGCCTGAAGGTAATTTTATAAAATATTTTTAATAATGTTGTGCATGAATCAGTTTTGACTGCATTTTGAATTTTGATTGCTACCTGTCACACAAGGTCAGGTGTGGAATTTTTCACTTGTGGCATCCTGTCGGTGCTGAAAAGTTTTAGATTTTACAGCACTTCAGATTTTGGATTTTTAGATTAGGGATGCTCAACTTGAACTTATCTATCCCAGCATTCTGGGTACTTTTTCCTTTTTTTTTTTTTTTTGAGATAGGATCTTGCTCTGTTGCCCAGACTGGAGTGCAGTGGTGTGATCATGGCTCACTGCAGCCTCAACCTCCTGGGCTCAAGTGACCTCCTACCTCAGGCTCCCATGTAGCTGGGACCATAGGCCATGTGTCACCATGCCCAGCTAATTTTTAAATTTTTTTTTTAGAGACGAGGTCTTGCTATGTTGCTCAGGCTGGTCTTGAACTCCTAGCCTCAAGTGATCCTCCCACCTCGGCCTCTCAAACTGTTGGGATTACAGGCATGAGCCACCCCGTCTGGCCAGTCCTTTTTCAATCAATGAAGATTACCAAATATTTAAATGGTCCGTATTCATACTAATGAAGACCATTTGTAATCCTATAATTAATCAAAGTTTTTATTTTATTTTTATTTTTTTTAATTTTTTTTTTTATTTTTGAGACGGAGTCTCACTCTGCCGCCCAGGCTGGAGTGCAGTGGCGCGATCTCAGCTCACTGCAAGCTCCGCCTCCTGGGTTTATGCCATTGTCCTGCCTCAGCCTCCCGAGTAGCTGGGACTACAGGCGCCCGCCACCTCGCCCGGCTAGTTTTTTGTATTTTTTAGTAGAGACGGGGTTTCACCGTGTTAGCCAGGATGGTCTCGATCTCCTGACCTCGTGATCCGCCCGTCTCGGCCTCCCAAAGTGCTGGGATTACAGGCGTGAGCCACCGCGCCCGGCCACAGTTTTTCATTTTTAAGAGACAAGTGTCTATGTCACTCAGGAGTACAGTGGCATGATCATGGCTTAACAGCCTTGACCCCTGGGCTCAAATGATCCTCTTCGGCCTCCCAAGTAACTAGGACTCAGGCGCACTCCACCACGGTAATTCAAATCTTTTGTAGAGATGGGGTCTTGCTGTGTTGCCCACTGGTCTCAAACTCCTGGGTTCAGGGGGTCCTCCCACCTCAGCCTCCCAAAGTGTTGGGATTACTGGGTGAGCCACCACGCCCCGCCCAATCTTATTTGATGGTTAAGGAGAATACAGTTTATAGCTGTGCTTGAACCTGTAGTTTTCCCCTACGTATAAATACTTATAAACATCTAAACACAAGAGGACGTTGTTTAAAAATCTGAGAGAGACAACATAATGAGAAGATATCTTTCAAAGCAATATTACTTTATAAAGAAAGAAGAGAAGGAAAGCATGTGAGACAGTTCAAGGATGAGGGAATGAAGTACAAAGAAAGGTCGAAGGAAAGAAGGTAGGGAAAAAGCAGAGAAGGAAACATGATGGCGAGATGATTCTCGGTGTTATGCTGTCTCCTGTGGTGGCTCTGGACGTAGGGACATGTTCTCGTGTGTGTGGCTGGTCTGCACACTCAAGTGAAGTCAGTGCAGCTAAGCATTGCTGCTACACTGCCACTATTACTCCCAAAATAGTAAGACAGAAGTTGTGTGGAGTATATGCTGGGAAAATTTCAAACATGATCCTTCCTTGGATATTTTGTCTTCACCCACTTGGGATGCTTGCCCATCACAGGCGCTATCTGCTGCATCTTAATGCCATGGTGCCCGTCCAGCACACACCCTTGTGAGCTCATCTCCAGAACCCAGTCTCAGTACGGCTTGCCAGCTGATGAGAAACTCTAGATCGTTTTGTAATAAATTCTGCAAAATTTACATGCTTTCTTGAACTCTCATACACACCCTTCCCCAGTCACTTAGACAGTTTTGCTCTTGTTGCCCAGGCTGGAGTGCAGTGGTGTGAGCTTGGCTCACTGCAACCTCTACCTCCCAGGTTCAAGCAATTCTCCTGCCTCAGCCTCCCAAGTAGCTGAGATTACAGGCATGAGCCACCACGCCTGGCTAATTGTGTATTTTTAATAGAGATGGAGTTTCACCCTGTTGGTCAGGCTGGCATTGAACTCCTGACCTCAGGTCATCTGCCTGCCTCGGCCTCCCAAAGCGCTGGGATTACAGGTGTGAGACACCGCGCCCGGCTGCCCCCAGTCACTTCTTTAAAGAAGTTGTCAGGCAAGGAAAATGAAATCCTGCTTTCACCTTCTGTGTTTGGGCTGGGGTGGTTGTTTACAGCTGACTCACTGTTTCAACAAGTCTGTTGATCAGGATTTGATTATTGTACACACTTCACTCTACTCCATGATTTTATGACTTGTTGCTGAAACTTTTAAAGGGGAGGCTGCAATTTTTAGGATATAAAAAGACAGCCTTAAAGTAAAAACACATTTCCGACTTTAACCACAATTATGCAATTTTTCTGTGTGACATGAAAAAAAAAATGTCCCAGTGAAGATGTACAAATTTAGAAAGGATAAAATAACGTCCTCTTTTGAGGTTTTGATCTCAAAAACATCTTCTGACAAAAAAATAGCCAGTTAACAATTCGCCCATAGATGAAGAAACCTAAGGCAGCAGCTAGCTGGAGTCTCCTTTGCTTCTTCACAGGCCATTCTGTAATTTCATACGCTCTGCTGTACAGCACTGGCTTTGAAGAATATTTGGGCAGCTTCAAGAACCCGCCTTCTCAAGGCTATGCAGGGACCAGGTCGGCCTCAGGGTCCTCCTCCCAGGAACTCCCGTTGTGGAAGTTCTTGAAGCTGGCCTCTTCCCCACAGGGCCTTGTGGATTTTCTGAGCTGCCTCCTGTCCTAACCTGAGCCAATGCTAAGGATCAAGGTTTAGGAGGCTAAGAGATCTGATAGCTCAGAAAAATGTAAAAAACTATGGAGGATACAAAAATGAACCATGTGAAGCAATCTTACTGAGAGCCTTTAAGTTCCTTGGTTTCTACATTTCACAGAAAGGAGTAGTTTAATTGAGCGACAACTCTTATTACTAACCTTGTTTGTGGCTTAGGTACCTGAGTTTTTTCTTTTTTCTGAGACAAAGTATTGCTCTGTTGCCCAGGCTGAGTGCAAGTGGCGTGATCTCGGCTCACTGCAACCTACAGTATCAGAAAAAGTTAATATATAACCATCTTTATGCTTTATACTTATTTTATCTTACTAAAAAAAAAAAAAATGCCTGGCACGGTGGCTCATGCCTGTAATCCAAGAACAGGGAGGCTGAGGTGGGCGGATCACTTGAGGTCAGGAGTTCAAGACCAGTCTGGCCAACATGGTGAAAACCCGTCTCTACTAAAAATGCAAAAAACAGCCGAGTGTGGTGGCACATGCCTGTAATCCCAGCTACTCTGGTTCTGCCTCCAGGTTCAAGTGATTCTCCTGCCTCAGCCTCCTGAGTAGCTGGGATTACAGGCATGTGCCACCACACCCGACTATTTTTTGCATTTTTAGTAGAGATGGGGTTTCACCATGTTGGCCAGACTGGTCTTGAACTCCTGACCTCAAGTGATCCGCCCGCCTCAGCCTCCTAAAGTTCTTGGATTACAGGTATGAGCCACCGTGCCAGGCATTTTTTTTTTTTTTTTTTGAGACGGAGTCTCGCTCTGTCACCCAGCCTGGAGTGCAGTGGCGCCACCTTGGCTCACTGCAAGCTCGGCCTCCCGGGTTTACGCCATTCTCCTGCCTCAGCCTCCTGCATTTTTTTTTTAGTAAGTTAAAATAAGTATAAAGTATAAAGATTGTCATATATTAACTTTTTCTGATACTGTAATGATCTGTTTTTAAATAACTATACTTTCTAAATAATTAAGAGATTTTTAATATAAAAATCATCCCTCACATTATGCTACTTGTAACAAAACAAGGAGAGGTTTCTTTCCTGAGCCCCCTCCTTCTTCCTCCATTCCTGTCAGCTGTCCATGTGGTTCTATATGAAAACACTGGTCTACAGAACATTTTCAAGTATATTTACTCTTTATTGCATTCCTTCATTTGCATTAAACAATATTTATATTTTTCAATATAGTTTTGGACAAAACACAAAGACATTAAGCTCATTTAACAAGAGACATAAGTTAACACAATGTGTGCTGCTTTCATGAGGAGGCAAGAGGCAAGCTCTTAGAGGAATCCAGGATACTGGCCACCAGGAATCACAGGAGCTCACAATACAATCTACTTCTTTAAAAGCCACAAAATAAGCTAGGGAAGAAAACCCAAAACAAAGAAGATATAACATACAAGTCTCCAAGAAAAGTATACAAATAGCAAGATTTGGAGATGATTTGCTTTCTCACATGGGGACAAATGACAGAAGAGCCACACCCAAGTGCCACTGTGGCCACAAGCCTCATGGGTGGCGTGTGGTGTAAGCACCTTAGGATGGCTTCTAATTGCTTGTCCTTGCATTTTAAGCAGCAATGGGGAGAGAGAGGCACGCTCCATAAGTCTCATCACCAAATATGACCTAATTAAATTCCTGCTAAGTCAGTCAGTTATAAGACAGATTGCCCTCAAAAGGACTCAATGGGTGCTTCCTTTTGGAAGAAGTGTGTGGAGGGTAAAGGAAATGTGTTCAATGTATTGGAATGGACAATAAAGCACTGAGGGAGAGGGCTAGAAAACGATTTTTCTGGAGAATAGTGTTTTATTTAGACACTAGATAGTACAGATGAATTAAAATAAAGGATAAATTCTAAGTAAGTCATTAAGCTAAGAAAAAAGCAGTGATACTAATAAGCCTTAATATTATACTAAGGAATTGACCCACTTGGAGTTGGACACTAATTAGTGCCGAGAGGTTTGTAAATTACTTTAATAACTCCTTTCTGTTTGGGGGTGTATGCTTTTTCCATACCTATCTTTCACATGTTTTTAACAACATCTACTAAGTGGTAATAATTAGCGTATCTCTTACCACAGAGCAAATTAGTTATACTAAGGGGAAGTCACAACCAACACGGTAGTCATCTGACTTTCTATTAAGAAAGATCTTCTGACTGCAACTTGAAAACATCTCTGACAATGATTGAGAACAGCATTTTAGACATTCAATGCCTTGTTTCTTCAGGCAAAGAGAATAACCAGTCTTGTGGGAGACCTTTAACCAAATACCCAGTGACCTTTAGTGTTAGCTCAGGACAGCTGTCAGAGGATCTCTGGCCCACGCCTCGATTTACTAAGCCAGGTTTGGATGTAGAAAGTCTGCCTTCTAATTGGCTAATTGTTGTCATGCAACATTCATTACACTGACTGAGAGTTTTCAGGGGTGATGTGCTAGTAGAGAGCCTGAAACGTGTAGTGTCCACAAGTACTGGATGGTTCCCACACAGAGGGACTGAGCAAGAAGGAATCACTTTAGCCTGCATGGGAAGGTAAGCGCAGCATTCTAAACCAAATTTACACCTTCCACGAGACACTAAGCTATCTCAGTACGCATAAGGAAGGGGGTTTTATTGCACTAATCATGCAGAGTGAGCACGTGTTGAAGGTAGAGAACGTTCCACTTAGTCCGGTATCTTGAGTAAGACAGTGAAGATCCCAGGCCATCTTCACCTTGGTCACTTCCCTTGGTCACTGTGGGTTTCAAATAGTTCATTTTCAATCAAAATCAAGGGGGCTACTGCAAAAGAAATACCAAAACACAAAAAACCAGATGAGGGTCTGTAAAAAACTATTAAAAAAAAAAAAGTCACTAAAAGCTTCTTAATGGTTATCCTACATTTCCCACTATGCATTTGCTATTAGATGAGCACTTCACAAAAGAAAATGGTCACATCTCCATGCATGTAAAAGCAGGTTCCGATAAATATGTACCATTAAGTTTTTCCTGCATTGTGACAAGGAAGTTTTGCGAAGCAGGACAGGGAGAGCAAACCAACAGTACAACCAACTTCCTTGCTTGGTCTCTCGGACCTACAACACAGCGAAGAATTCAAATAAATGGAAACAAACTTATCTAGGAAAGCAACTCTTAGAATAGGCACAGGGATTTAACAGGGTGGTAAGTTTGGTTGATGGTCATTAAATGTTGTGTGTACTTACGCTCCTTCTTCTCTTAAGAGGGCTAAGAATTTTCTCACACGGTATTCAGGATCCATCTAAATACATCAGAAGAAATGAAGATGGGTTAATGGTACCTTATAACAACTCTGCACTTGCTTCATGCCAAGGCAATGTTCGGTTTCACACTTCATCAATGCTCCGCTAGGTCACTGAATTACCTGCTCCTTGACCAGCATTCTCACACAAAGCAGATCACATCATTTGGAGGAAGTGAATGGGGTTTTCCAAAACCATGTACACTGGGTTCCAAAAGACCCAAGCCCACTGGCCATCATAGGCACTTGGGCCAGGCGTGCCCTGTGCTGGTACCTGTGAAGCATCGCTGTGAGACTGGACAGGGCCATTCATCAGGGTTCAAATGACACCCAATTCATCCACTGAAGGTATAAAAGTCTACTAAAGTCGCAGCAAAGTAGAAGATACCAAGTTGAGGTTAATTCAACAACTAAAAAATAGCTTAATTCTACATAATCAACAATATAGCTTTTCTTAGCTTCAGCATCCGTCATATAGTTTCTTCTTTGTAGTAACGAAGTTGTGCTAAAACTAAAAAAATGAAGAGTACTGCTGATTCCTGAAATAATCTCTAGATGAATCTGGGTCTCCTGTCATGAGTCTAAGAAAAAATGGTGCAACTTTTGTTTCAGGTGCTTGGTTCAGGTGGTTATTACTAACTATCTAGACTGGTTTTCATTTTCTATTCATATTTATACTAACTTGCTAAATATACTTTATTCTCGTAGGCCCACAGGAGATACGAAGTTATCTAGAAAACAATCATTAAAAACATCTTTAATTCCTGAAGATGAATTTTTATTGTAAGAAACACACCTAACTTTTAAAATATGTTTCAGAGCAGGAGTCTGTTTCCCAAGAGGGAACTCCCTGCCCTCCAGGAGTAACTTTCAAATGCTCAGTGCAGCTGTGGGTAGATGTGCAATCGGACTCCCCTCCAACCACGGAGTTTTTTTCCTTTTTTTTTTTTTTTTTTTTTTAAGATTTCTTCTATCTCAGAAAAACATTGAACAGAAGTTTCAAATGTATCAAAGGTAAGAGGTCAGACTACAAAGGACTAAGAAAAAGTGTGAACAGCTAACAAAAGAAACATTTTTCCTCTTTGGGAATAGAATTACATATGAATCAATTGTCAAGTTCTTAAAAAAAAAAAAAAAAAGGAACTGGCTGAAGCATAGTTGTAGTTGGTACTTGCAGTTCTTTGCCCATTAAATATATTTAATATATGTGAGCAACAACTTACTGACTTGCCTGTAGCTATGGAATTAAAAGTCAGGAGAAAGGGAGGAAAAAAGTAATCTAGATAAATGACTTTATTCCCTCAGGTGACATCCAGTCAGAGCAGATCCTCAGCTCTGTGCAAGTTTTAACAGAATCGCGTGTAGTGAACAGAGAGGTAACATGACTTATATTCTGCAAAACTACATGCCTCTTCACTTAGGCTCAGCCTCTCTAAGGCAGATCTAAAGAGAATTCACTCAGCTGCACGAAATCCATTTGACATGAAGGGGTTCAAACTCAGAGGCCTATGAAATGTCAGTCGCTGCAGATTAGGCCTGAGTGCCCCACTCTCACTCTCTACCCCACATGCATAAGAAGCATTAACTTGATCACTGACCTGCAGGCATCAAAGGAAGGGAAAGGGATGAGGGTTGGGGAAAAAAATCCACAGAGTTTCTTCTATGCAATTATTGAAAAAAAAAATTAAACTGAAACTTAAAAAAAAAAAAAAAGTTGACAATCTGACAGATTTATCTTTTTTTCAAGGAAAGAGCCAATACACCTGTATTTGCACCTTTACCAAGAATAAGTCTAAACAAAGTGGTTAGTCTGTAACTTTAATTTATGGCTCATAATGGAAAATAAATTAATTGACTTAAAAATAGTCCATCTGAAAGCTTAGTAGATTAAATTAGATTTCTGAAAGCCACAAAAATTTTATTTTCAGATAAATTTACCAGAAAAGATTAAAAAGCATTCACTTCACGTTTCCAATGTGTTATTGGTCCAAGAGCCTATTTTAGATGTAACTGAAACAGAAACTTCACCTCTGCCACTCACTGCCCATACTAGCAGAATGGCAGGACCATCAGTAAGTAACACATGATGCCTAGAATACAATCACTCTGTCCACCTAGGACCAGAATGAATTTATAGTTATTCATCCAACAAAAGTTTACTGGCCGGGTGCAGTGGCTCACGCCTGTGATCCCAGCACTTTGGGAAGCCGAGGTGGGCGGATCACCTGAGGTCAGGAGATCAAGACCAGCTTGGCCAACATGGTGAAACCCCATCTCTACTAAAAATACAAAAAATTAGCCGGGCGTGATGGATGGGCGCCTGTAATCCCTGCTACTCAGGAGGCTGAGGCAGGAGAATCCCTTGAACGTGGGAGGTGGAAGTTGCAGTGAGCCGAGATCATGCCACTGCACTCAAGCCTGGGCAACAGAATGAGACTGTCTCAAAAGAAAAAAAAAAAAAGAAGTTACTGAGGGCCAGGCATGGTGGTGCATGCCTGTAATCCCAGCACTCTGGGAGGCTGAGGCAGATAGATCACTTGAGCTCAGGAGTTCAAGACCAGCATGGGCAACATAGTGAACCACGTCTCTACAAAAAATACAAAAATTAGTTGAGTATGGTAGCACATGCTGGTAGTCCCAGCTGGGGAGGCTGAGATAGGAGGATCGCTTGAGCCTGGGAGGTCAAAACTGCAGTAAGCCGTGATCATGGCACTGCATTCCAGCCTGGGAGACAGAGCGAGACACTGTCTTAGAATAATAATAATAATAATAATAATAATAATAATAGTAATAAAAGTTTACTAAGCACCCTCATATGTGTTAGCTCTGTTCCAGGGACTTTGGACTCAACAGTAAGAGCCAAGGTCTCTGAATTCATAGGGCTTGATAGGGAGATATTTATCAGCTAACTAGTATGTCAGATAAGGACAAGAAGACACAGGATGGGAATATGGAAGGATGGAGTTCTAAAAAGAGGAAAGGTAAGTTGCCAGGAGATATGAGAAAGTCCCAAAGAAGTTTCATCTGTCTTTGTGCAGGCAGCAGCCTGGGGCTTAGTTTTCTTCATGATTCTGGATGCTTCAACTCTACAGTAGTTTGCATGAAATTTCTAGGAGCCCAGCCAGGGACAAATATACAGATCCCAGGTCTAGACTGCACAACTTAATTAACTTGTCCCTTAAAACAGTCTCCCAGACACCATTTGGTATATGTGTGGTCACCTACTGACTTGAGGTGCAACACCATCCCTTCTCCATCAATAACCTGGCGAAGTGATCTTGGATAATTCACTGACAGCCTGTGGCACACACAGTATCCTCATCTCCAAAATGAGGGGGCAGCAGAACAATTGCTCTTTGAAGTCTTTTCTAGTTCTAAGATCTAGTGGCTCCCTAAATTAAAACTAACTTTATAATCTTTCCTTCCATTTTTGAATTTTAAGAAGTTGAAAAGTATTGGTAAGTGGTCAATCTCAGAAGCAGGCTACCAAATTAAGTTTGGAAATAATATAAGAAAATCAAAACTTTAATTAAAACCCTTGGCAAAGGAAATACTGAACCCTCTTGGTGTGTCCTGAAGCTTTGTTCTGTCTGAGTCACATGGAGAAGGAAGTCCCTTACCTGTAGGGACATCTCGATCAACATGAGTAACTTCTTGATTCCTATCCAGACCTTCTTCCCTTTGACTTGCTGAGAAATTGTGGTGCGTTCCTTATCCTTGAAGTTGCCCAAAAGCTACAAAAACAATAAACAATAATCAAAGCACTTTTACAGTGAACACATCAACATTGGTTAATTCTATTTACCTTTAAAAGAAGAGTGATAAGAACTACCTAACTGTTCAGGTTGATAGAATTGTCTTCTACTTTAAAATCCAGTCTGACCTTCCTAAACCCATTAGGTGCAATCATGAAAGTGAAAACTGGTATCCTAAACCCCATTTTCTTATGGACCTCCATATAACTTGTATTTGCTGGGGAAAAAAATAGCTCCAATCCATAATAAATATAAATTAAAAATTTTAACATTCTTTTCTAGGAACAATCTGTATGTGTCAAAGCAAACTACCTTTAATTCTCTTACCCAGTTCCTGCACAAAACCTGCCTACATGGGTAACCTGAAACATTTATCATATAGATACGTTTCTATTTTGTTGGGGGCCTTGAGGACTTTAAGAAGCTTTACTGACTCTACCACTGCTGAACAACTCAGTAGGTAACATTTTCCAATACAGCTCACCAAGTCACTTGTGAATATTGATATTAAAAGTTAAATGAAGAACATTCTTTAAAAATGACTTTGTCATTTTCAAAAAATTAAGAAAACATTTCTATTTCTAAACTTGTTAATAAAGTTCCTTTTACTTCTGTAGTTTTTGACACTTCTAAGGCTTTAATCATCGTTCCAATTTATTAAATGCAAGGAAATGTGCTAAAAGCCATTATGAATGGTTAATTTTTCTATACAGTGATTACCTTACCCCCACACTGCCACCCATTCAAGTTTCTGGTCCAAGTAATCTATACACATCACTCATGCTGGATACAGAGCAATTAATTCCTGGCAGTTTGTAGCTGCCTACATTGAGGAATGGGAAACTAATTCACTGTCATGTATACTCATCTTTCTCCTCTAATTCCTGAAAACAACTGGAGGTACAGGTTGAGTATCCCTAATCCAAAAATCTGAAATCTAAAATGCTCCAAAATCGGAAATTTTTTGAGTGCCAACATGACATTCAAAGGAAATGCTCACTAAAGCAATTCAGATTTCCAGATTAGAGATGCTCAACCTAAATATAATGCAGTATTCCAAAATCTGAAAAAATCTGAAATCTGAAACACTTCTGGTCCTAGGCATTTTTTGTTGTTAGATAGAGTCTTGCTCTCTCGCCCAGACTAGAGTGCAGTAGCACAATCTTGGCTCACTGCAACCTCCACCTCCCAGGTTGAAGCAATTCTCCTACTTCAGCCTCCTGAGTAGCTGGGACTACAGGCGCCTGCCACCATGCCTGGCTTATTTTTGTATTTTTAGTAGAGACAGAGTTTCACCATGTTGGCCAGGCTGGTCTCGAACTTCTGACCTCAAGTGATCCACCTGCCCTGGCCTCCCAAAGTGCTGGGATTACAGGCGTGAGCCACCGTGCCTGGCCTAGTCCCAGGCATTTTGGATAAGGGATACACAACCTGTAATATCCTTGGGCCCCATGTTCTGGATTAGCATAAAAACCAAACACCAGGTATAATGTGGTACCACTTATTTCAGCCTCAATTCCTTTCTTATAAACAGTGTGCAATCCATTGACTCATTTTCACCTCCAAAGCTTCCAACAGCTGCTCTCCTGTGGCAATGTTGGGCACGTGGATGGTGGTACTGAAAGCATTAAGCATTTCCATCTCCTGAAGGACATCTTTGCGGCTAGTGGTCCCAATGATAAGAAGCTTGCGGCCCTGATCATAGGGAGAAAATGTGTTAAAATGTACATAAGACTAATTAGGAAACTACAGTAAGCTTGAACACAATTTGCAAAAGCCATTTATTTAATCTTGCAAATGCAAATGATTGGCAAAAGAGAAGAAAACAATTCAGGATTTTCCTGAAAATCCTGAAGAAAGGTACCAACAAGATTCAGAAAGTGGCAACATGTGAACAGCTCCTTCTCATTCACATCAATAAAACAATGGATTAGTAAATCAGGAAGATACACAAACCAAATGGAAAGATACTGACATGTATGTATGTAATTCCTTCCTTAGAGCCAACATGGCACATGTATGGTGGTAATTGGGGAAAAAAGATGAAATGAATAGATAGTATGTGGCGCTGCCTTTACAAGGCTTTAGTACAGAGCAGGGTAATAATAGTTTACATTTATGCAACACTGAACAGTAAAAGGCATGGGCTAAAGTGCTTTCCATAATTGTCACATTTAATATTTTTCATTTTTATTTTTAATGCTGAAATATTAAAAAAAAAAAGTTTAAAAACTATGCCAGGCTTATGCTACCATTCTCAGTTCCCTTTCTTCAAAGGCAACCATTTTCAATTCTCTTAGCTTTTCTTCTTCTATTTACTTCCTTATCTTTAAATAATAAGGTTACATTACTAGTTTTAGATTTCTGTTTTCAGCTTTATGTTTTTTTGAGACGGACGGAGTCTTGCTCTGCTGCCCAGGCTGGAGTGCAGTGGTGCGATCTTGGCTCACTGCAAGCTCTGCCTCCCGGGTTCACGCCATTCTCCCACCTCAGCCTCCCAAGTAGCTGGGACCACAGGCACCCGCCACCATGCCCAGCTAATTTTTTGTATTTTTTTTTGTAGAGACAGGGTTTCACCATGTTAGCCAGGATGGTCTCCATCTCCTGACCTCATGATCTGCCCACCTCAGCCTCCCAAAGTGCTGGGATTACAGGCGTGAGCCACCGCACCCGGCCTGTTTTCCGCTTTAAATTCCTCCCATAGAAGATGAGGATTTGTTATTAATTTTGCACTACCCCCCTTCCCCCACCACATGCCCCTTTTTATGTCCTTCCAATATAGTTATTTCACAGTCTTTAGTTAAATCTATATTCAGTATTTATTATGTTTATACAAATGTGGTTTACAGTTAGGCCACACAGAGTACTATTAAATTTCCTTTCTTGGACAACATTTTGTTTTACTGGAGTTAATTGCCTTTTTCCCCTTCGCTTAGTTTACCAGGTACTTACCACAGTTTGTCTCTAAACACAATCACAAGTCTCCTTTCAGTATATTCAAACATATTACATAGTTTAAAGTTGCGTTCTTGAAGAAATTCCCCTCCAGGAGTCCTCTGTGTTCACAGTTCAATCTGAAGTGGTGACTCACTAGGCCTGGGGCACAGCTGAAGTTCTGGAGCGTTCCTCTCTCCTCTGTTAGATTCCCTGTATCCTAGCCTTCCTTTTCCTCATCTATCCCCTTGTCTGTGCTGCATATACCCAAAAGCTTCCTGAGAAAGAGTGAGAGGGAGGTAAATTTTTTTTTTTTTTTTTTTTTTTTGAGATGGAGTCTCGCTCTGTCGCCCAGGCTGGAGTGCAGTGGCCGGATCTCAGCTCACTGCAAGCTCCGCCTCCTGGGTTAGCCATTCTCCTGCCTCAGCCTCCCAAGTAGCTGGGACTACAGGCGCCCGCCACTTCGCCCTGCTAGTTTTTTGTATTTTTTAGTAGAGACGGGGTTTCACCGTGTTCACCAGGATGGTCTCGATCTCCTGACCTCGTGATCCACCCATCTCGGCCTCCCAAAGTGCTGGGATTACAGGCTTGAGTCACTGCGCCCAGCCGGTAAAATTTTAAAGACCTTGCATATCTGGAAATACCTTTATTCTAGCCTTAATATTGTATCCTTTGTCTTAATAGTTTGTCTAGTTGTAAAAAATAAGGTTAGAGGCTGGGTGCGCTGGCTCATGCCTGTGATTCCAATGCTGTGGGAGGCCGCGGCAGGTGATCACCTGAGGTCAGGAGTTTGAGACCGGCCTGACCAACATGGTGAAATCCCATCTCTACTAAAAATACAAAATTAGCTGGGCATGGTGGCATGTCCTGTAATCCCAGCTACTTGGGAGGCTGAGGTAGGAGAATGCTTGAACTCAAGAATCAGAGGTTGCAGTGAGCCGAGATCACACCATTGCACTCCAGCCTGGGCAACAAGAACGAAACTGTCTCAAAAAATAAATAAATAAAAAGGTTAGAAATAATTTTTTCTTGCAATTTTGAAGGCACTGAAGGCTAAAAGACAAATGCTATCTGATCTTTGATCTTTTGTTTCTAACCTTTTCAATACAAAACTTTCAGAATCTTTTCTTCATCCCTATGTTCTGCAATTTGAAAACTACATATCCTAAGATGGTTCTTTCTATACTCATTTTGCTGGCACTAGATACCTTCTTTCTAAACTGGAAATTCCAATCATTCAATTCTAGGAACTATGTTTCCTGGAGACTTCCTCCCATTCATTTTCTCTGTATCACCCACTGGGAACCTCTTAGTTGGATATTGATCCTCTAGGACTAATCTTCTAATTTTCTTATTTTTTTACTCTTAGTTTTTATTTCTTTCTCTTTCTAATACTTTTCAGGTTAGTATCAACTTTGTCTTCCAACCTTTAAACTAACTTATTTTTCAGTTCTAAGAGCTATTCTTGTTTTCTGAATGTTTTCTTTTTAAATTGCATCCTGTGCAATTAAAATACAATATCTTGTTTTAGATCTCTGAGGCCAGTGGCTCACACCTGTAATCCCAGCACTTTGGGAGGCCCAGATGGACAGATCGCTTGAGCCCAGGAGTTTGAGACCTGTATGGGTAACATGGTGAAACCTCGTCTTGACAAAAATACCAAAATTAGCTGGGTGTGGTGGCAGATGCCTGTAGTCCCAGCTACTTGGGAGCCTGAGGTGAGAAGATTGCTTGAGCCCAGGAGGCTGAGGCTGGAGTGAGCCGAGATGGCACCACTGCACTCCTGCCTGGGTGATAGACAAAGTGAGACTCCATCTTAAAAAACAAACCTGTGAATATTATAGAATGCAAAAATGATGTTTTCTTCTGTTCTTTGTTTTGTCTGTTTCCTATGACTTGCCCCTTTTTCCAATTTGTTTACAGGAGGCTTTCCTCAAAGTGGTGATTGCTGGATAGCTATCCATATTTAAGAGCTAAACTATGGGCTGGGCGTGGTGGCTCACACCTGTAATCCCAGCACTTTGGGAGGCCAAGGCAGGCAGATCACAAGGTCAGGAGATCGAGACCGTCCTGGCTAACAGGGTGAAACCCAGTCTCTACTAAAAATACAAAAAAAATTAGCCAGGCATGGTGGCAGGCGCCTATAGTCCCAGCTACTCGAGAGGCTGAGGCAGGAAAATGGCATGAACCCAGTGAGCTGAGATCGTGCCACTGCACTCCAGCTTGGGCGACAGAGCGAGACTCTGTCTCAAAAAAAAAAAAAGAGCTAAACTATGACTGGAAATTCTGTGTCCAGGAGCTTCACTATAGGATGATTAGGTAAGACTTGGCTGACTACTGGGGGTCCCTCAAAGGTCAGTATGCGTACATTCTTCCCAGAGAAGAATCTTCCTTCCCAAAGACTATAAAGCCTCGTTGCCAGCATACTGGAGTCAACAGGCTAATGCTTCTGGGTATCTCACCATTTAATAGGGAGACCTCCGCTTAATCCTCTTTTGCAGTATGGCACCTCTCCAGATCAGTCTCTCAATTAATGTTCATTATACTCATGAAAATGCAGTACTAGTACTATCCCCATTTTACTGACGAAGCTATTGAGTCTCACAGATATAAGTCATTTGTGTTCGAGGTCAAATAACCAATACATGATGGAGCCAAGACTGGAAACCGGATCCAGACCCAAATCATATACTGCCTCTCTTTACAAAGAAAAACACATTACTAAAAAAGTTTACTTGGAAAATGGAAGAGGAATAAGTTTTAAACTTATGTCACTAGATTTATAATATACACTCAGTCCATAGATAAGTCTTCAGTAAAGACTAATCATTGAACTTATACACAGATCTTAGAAATTCAGAACATTAAAATAAATGTGCTATCAGGAAAAGATTTTAAGAAACCAAAACAATTTCAATTTGGGTTTGGTAAACATTATACCACTACTGTCAATAAGACACATCAGCCTTTCTCAATGTTACTCATTGTTTTTATCCACCTGCTGTGCCAAGAATGGGCAATGTACCACCACAAGCCAATGCAGATCAAAGAAACAAAGCTGAGACCCTCTGGTACAATTAGCCATTAGCTTAACAGATGAGTGCGCAAAGAATATAAGATAGAAGTACACCTGTGAATATTCAGATTAAAGGGTAATCATTGTTATTATTTGAGGAACCAACTAGGCAAAAATCAAATGCTTATTATCAGACATTTACCAAGTTCCTAGATGAATATGCAACAGACCTTCCACAGAAAGACAGATACAAAAGAGATAATTATAATACAATATGGCAAGGTGGAAGTATTATGCACAAGGATGTCAGGTAGAGGGAAGAAACACGTGGCAGAGAAAGCTTTTTCTGGAGGAGATGATACATGAGTTGAGTCTTAAGGAATGAGTAGGTTGATTAGGAAGATGAAGGGGAAGGACATTCTAAGCCAGAGGAACAGAAATAAATAAGTCCAAGGGCAAAATAACAACAAAAGCTGGGGTGTTGCAGTAATTGCAATCGAGTAAAGACACACATTTTTACTATAACAAAAAGTGGTGCTTTTATACTTAAAGTATTTTTTTAACACTAAATTCCAATTGCAAACTTGGGAACACAGTCCTAAAGGCTAAGAGATGCCAAAGGCCACACATGCCGATACCTCAGTATGATTAAAGGTAACTGTTACTTCTCTTTTTCCTTAGCTTTTTAATGTCCCATAGTCCATAATGCAAACTTCCTCATCTTGCTCCTCTCTCACAAAGGACA